ACAGACAACCTCTCGTCAATATGCGTTTTTCGCATTGCATTGCTGCAAAAAACGCATAAAAACATGACCAAAAAAGCAAATCAAAGATAAGAATTACTAAATTTACTTTTATGGAAAAGATGAGCAGTTTGTGAAGTGAGATAGATGTATGACAATTCCTGATTGCCATGGAACCCGCCCACAAACATCACTTGCGTCCTTTGTAAATGTGCACCAAGCTGACCGGTTTCATCCTGCAATTCACCAGCAGCAATATTACGATGATGCCGAAACAGTCAGTTGATGAAAGAAATCCGCTTAGCAATCATATTACAGAGAATAAAATCAATACAAACCCCAAATTCAGTGCCAATAAGCAATCGCCCATCGTTAACGTTTGCCAATATGCAAAAGTTATGCGCCTTATCACTGCTCAATGCATTAACTGTTAGTACGGAGTGACGAGAACACGAAACATTTGAATCGCTATGTACAGAACCTGGAATATAATACCTACAGATAAGCCAATGCCCAAATTCGAGCTAGTATGTGGCAAAAGGCAATAGTCAATATAAGCAATAATGCCCCTCCCCCCCACCCTCCCAATCCCGTAAACAATATTTTACTTTCCTTCAACTGTTCAAAAGAGAGTGGAATTTTTCCACATATCCAAATGAAAGATGTACCGGCAGGAGAGATTTTTGCAAGCAAAACAATGTAACCCACCTTTCCTGTTCGGCGGTCGGCAAAGTTGGAAGAGTCCATCATCTGATTCTTCAAATTCTTTTCGCCTATTGCAGTTATTGAAGACAGGTGAATACGGCTTCCACATTGCTAGGTCATTGGCCAATCTGAAAAAAAAACCCATCCATGGGTATGCAAGGATTCGAATTCACACAAAAATACATGCCAAACGGGCATTATTTGCCTACCTATTATAAATAATTTCGTAAAAGCGGCGATTGGGTAAATAAATGCGCAGTACAGGAAGGGTTAACTCGCAACTGATGCTTGTATTCGACATACATTCTTCCCCAAACTGGAACATTTCCTTGGTGCTTCCAACCACAACAACCTGAACTGTGTTAAGTTTTACACTCCCAAAAATTATCATTCAGTTTTCGACTCTGAAATATGCCTACCATGCGATTTTCGTTCCGTATAATACACTTCGAGAATGGCCCCTCCAGCTTATCACCTACTGCCGCAGTTGCTGCTGCATCGTCGTCATATCCCTCTGGCGAAGCGTCTGCATCATCCACTGTGCTGCAGTGAGCCGAAGTTGCCTTTAAGCTGGTGTTGCGACTATCGTAGTTAAATTTCAAGCTGAAAACCACATTGAAGTAAAGTAATTTCTATAAATGAAAGGCATTTTTTAAAAAAGAAAGGAGTTGTAAACAGAAATATGCCCTACCTAACACAGCCGCCTCCGCATGTCTTCGAGCAACCTGTGTAAAGAAAAGGTTCTGTTGATTCGGTATCGTTCATACAGAAAGACGCTGAAATACGAGAAACGATAAAGACCGTTCGGAAATGCTTTCATGTCATGGGACAGACAGCTATTCCGCATGCATGCAAATTTCGCTGACAAAGCAAACAAATCAAATCCATGTTAATTTTAGAGGTCGTATAAAAAGCTTTTGCAGGATGATACGAGCTGTTAAAGGAGGCAGTCAATGTTTTCAGGATGCTTAAAATTGTACCATTAAGAGCAGATGCAGAAACAACAACTGTTCCATGCTGCCCTAAGCATGAAATATCAAGTTTCTGTAGCTCAAGCCTGGCGTCCAGCAACCTCAGTCGTAACACTTCCTTGTGCAGATGTCTCTTCCAGTGAGGAGGTCGAGCTGCTGGTTGCTCATCGCACCTCATGTCTGCTACCGGAATCCTGAAAATTTACAAAAGAGAAAAAATCCGTTTTGCTGGTACTGGGAAGTGAATTTACAAGAATCACAACTGAAATATTCTTAGGATTCATTTGTATGAATTAGAAGATCCATACCTCAAATTAACGTCCCATTGCGGGCAACAAAGTGTGAATGTCAAAGTAGATGGCGGCGTACTGCTGGTGTCTTGCAATGCTGTGTACAGGAAATCATTTCTGGAAAATTGCCCATTGAAAATAAAACGCTGTTTCTGGGAAACAGTATGAAAATGTACAATTTATACACAGTAACTTACTTCAAACCACGTGACAAATCACTGGCATGGCGTACTCGTGACGGGAGTGGACAAAGGTAAAATGGCCTTATAACAAAGAGAGATGAAATTCGATCAATTATTGATATGTCCAGTTCACTCTCACACGCCATCAGATTTACCGATACATTGTAATGCTGAAAATACTTTATTGCACGACGAAAATCATTTCTGGCAACTACACTTGGCTGGGTTTAACCACATACGCAAAGCCACTTTTAAAATACCGCGTGAAATGCTGCTGCCTGTGCAGCTTAAGAAGCCTGACATCCAGTGCTCTCCGAAACTCATAAACAGTCATCTCCAGATAGGTCTTCTCCTACTGATGACATCCTTAGTTCGTTTGGGGCTGAGGGCGAGGAGATCGTGGTAGGTATGCCAAAGGATCACAGAAACAGTGAGAAAAATGTGGCACATTAGACTTTTCTACGAAAAAAAATAAAGTAGGGGAAATGAATGCAATAGCTGTCAGCAGGCAGAGCATCAAACGGTGTAATATCGGTCCAAATGCCTACGAAAAGGCTGCACATTCAGTATTGTCTTAAAAAAAAAATACCAAAATAGAAATATTATACAACATTGTTCCAACAATTTCTACAACAGAGCGAAATCATTAAAAAGTAGAACAAACATTTATGTTGTTGCTACTTTCAGCTTTGATCATCAGTCGGCGATTCTTTTCGACGGCTGATGCACCTTCACGAAATGAGAGTAATTTGATATGTTCTGGAAGAGATCCACCCTGCAACACGACAAAAATAACAGTTGCGGCTTTAAAAGACGAACTAATCCAAAATAGAGCTGCAAAGCAAGAGCAACCGTGCTTGACGATTCTGGTGAGAGAATTTCCAACAACTCGGCATCTAGCGCTTCCAGATTTACGGAAAGCGAACTGCCCTCTTGAGAGTTAACCTGAGCATAAGCAAAGAACAATCCTTCGGCAACAAACCTGAAAAAGCCGTTCTACTCCTTCTGTCTTACAAAACAAATCTTTACAAAAATTTTTCGTAACTATACAAAGCCTCATTTTCGCATACCGTAAATGATCCTTTTTACACAGCTGTTTGAAGTTCTGCTTCAACTGACTCACTGAGACTCCAAAAACCACGTCGAAAAAACTGTCAGCCAATTCTTTGTAAGAACTAATAATACTCGCGATTCCATCCATACTTTCAACTGCTCTGCAAAATTGCATTTGAAACTCCCCAATGTTGAAAAAATTCTCATTCAAACCCAAAAACTGCCTGCGACTTCCTGTATGTCAGCAAAAAAGATATCTCTTTCATAGTGTGTGTTAGAGAATAACCTGTGCGCGATGAGCTCACTATTTGCACTACGAAAATCACATCGATACAGAAAAGGAACACCTAAATTCCCTTTTTTTTTCAGTCTGGAAGTACAAGAACTAAAAATGCACTTTAAAATATTTTATTTAGGAAAGTTCGAAAAAAAAAAAAAAACAGAAAAGAAAAAGAAAAACAAAATATTAATCGGGACCCGCTCCCAGATCCCAAGCCCTGATATCTCCTCCAAATGTTCCTTTTCTCAGGGCTACTTACCATTTCAACAGTTTATCGTTCAGTCTAAGATACTTCCCACTTAAATAATCATTTCCCTAAATTACATTTTACTTAAAATTCGCTGCCTTTTTTGGTTTCTGTAACCGGATGAAGCGACAAAAGCAACGTGGGGGACTGCTTCAGATAGGAGAAGCGACCAAATGTGTATGAAAAATCAACGCCTACCTGTCTCGGACTTTGTCCCATCCAAGATAATCTACATGAGTAAGAACAAGAATAACGCTGTGAATGCTCGCTTTAACAGTGACCACATCGGATACTGCATCTACAGATTTCAGTGGTCCTGCAATTAAAAAGCAATCTGTAGTAAGCGGTGTGCAGACAGTGAAGTGTTTACTGTTCCGCAAGCCTTGTCCACATAAACCACCATTCGGTGATTACAGAGGTTAATGCCGAATCCACAAAAAAAGGAAAAAAAACCACACAGTCTCTCTAATGCAGAAGGCTAAAGCAGTTTTCATTGAGAACTGAGCCATTTCTGCAGAGTCTCAACAATCCCAACAGCCACAAAACTTTCACTTTGTGGAAATTCATGGGGAATTTTGATCATGAGCATTTTCACGCCACCAATTTTACTATTCTGTAACAGGGTTTGTCGCATCCAATGAACTCTGCTAAAGCATTTTGTTGTTGCTCACTTGTGAAATGCTACGGAAATGTCAACCAAAACACAGGGCTATGCTGGCCATATAATGAAAATAAGCGAAAAAAGCATGGACGAATAGAATCTACACGGACTGGAAGGCACGATGGGAACCCATCAGCAAAATGGAAAGGATTCCCCGCTATGTTTCCACAAAATTATGATTATGCGACATGCGTAATAAATAATGCTACGCGCAACAAGACAGCCAGTGCAATTATGTGTTTTGTGCAATTCTGTATAGCAGACGTTTGCTGTTAAGAATGCCATGCTAGTTTGGTGCATGCAAAAACTGTAGAAATGTTGTCTGGTTCTCGAGTTACGAAATTTTTCACCGAAAATTTCATGTATTCGCATTTGAAACGAAGGCCTTAATGAAAGATGAAAAATAAATGGCAACGCGCACCAGACTAGCCGGTGCGATCATGCGTTTTGTGCAATTCAGCCCA